TTTCCATTTTTTACTTCTTCTTCCAGGCTAGATATTCGACCTAAAAGTGATGAAAACATCAATGAGGCTGGGCAGAGTGTGGAAAAAGAATGTACCGTATCTACTTCGTGATAAAAATTTTCAAATGTAACAGCTTCTAATTCTGATTATTAAGAACATCTCCCTTCAGAGTGAGTTTAAAAGTTATCAGTAACATTTTATAAATGTTATCACATATCTTCTCTTAAATGTGTTATCATATATCTTCTCTTAAACGTGTGTCCACACTTACAGAACATTGTATAGAACAGCATGCTAATCTAGTCACAGTCTGAAGCTCAAATAACATCATCAAAACCTATTTTTATTTCTGAAATCAGAAGCAAGTTTAACTTCAGAACACTTGCGGGAATACCTTGTAAATCACTGATTATCTCTGATCCATGACTTCGATCTCTCCTTTCTGATTCTAGAGCTGACTGAAGATTGAGAAAGTCCTTCTCCAGTTTGAGTTTAGCATTCTCTAGCAGGCAATTCTTATCTTGTAGTTCTCGATTATTAGCTTCCAGCTGCTGGATTTGCTTTGTGCTTTCTGTCTGGTTCTTCCTTAACCTGGCTGCAGTATCAGACTCTGATCGCAGCAAAGAATTGGCTTCATCCAACTACGGATTGATAAAAGCATACTTCAGAAACAATTAAAATATAACACCTACCATTTCCACTGCAGAATACTAAGAAGAAGATATACTAAGAAATAAAAAGGTATGTATTTTAAGATTACTTCTGCACACCAAAACATGACAAGAAAGAACAGCTTTTAAAACGCCACTACACATTCTAACTCCCTCCACTACTAGTAAAATCTGTAGTTCAAACAGCTATTATTTTAAAATATACATATATAAAGTAGGCATACCTGTCTTTGTAGTTGATTGATTTTCTCATTGGATATTTGAGAGTTCTGATTTCTCTTTTTTAAATCTTCAAGCTGGTCTTTCAAACTGTTAACTGTAACAAAAAAAAAAAATCAACATTGTTAATCACTGTCATGAAAAAGCTTTAATTTGAGCTGTAATTCATTTATTTATCTTTTAAAAAACCCACATCAAAACAGAATCGTTCAAGCATGGTTCAACATACCCTCATTTTCCAAATTGCGTTTCTTATCTGCTTCATGTTCTGCTTTTCTCTGGTATTCTGTATTCTTATGCTGAAGAAGAGCCTTCTCTCTTTCTAATTGTCTGACTGCAGACTCTACATTCTTCCTTGAAGTTATCTGGATATATTTTTAAAAAAACACCACTGATTACATACAGAAGAATGGTATTCTTTAAATGATAAAAAGACAGCTCATGCACTCAGTTTAGTTTGTAATGGAGAAAGACACAGTCCATTTGCCTGCTGCAAACACAGCGTATCGGAACACATGGTCAAATCCAGCCCAGGAAGACTATGGCCAGGAGCTTCTACAATTTAAAACCTGTTTGATTGTTTGGATTTGATAAATCTGGTAAACCTACCTAGCAGTGACTCAGGAAGCACAGAAATACACATGTACTGTAAGGTCTCAACACACACCTGGATGCGCAATACATTAAGTTGTACACGTTCACTAAAGATATGACAAATTTGTAGTAGCACTGAAGTGGAAAGCTGGGCAAGAAAGAGGGTCCTTGTACTGACACTCTTTGAACAGCACAAAGAATGGGCTTCCTCTTCTAGCAACACTACTTTCACATCTTCAGTTATTAGAAGCGTATATGGATTTTATTCATATTACTCTGTCCTCCAAATTAAAAAACGGATTCTGGAAACAAATGTGTAGTTGTAGTGCAGAAATCACAATGAAAATATTTTAGCAATGACAACAATTTCATGCTTGTGAATATCAAGAAATCAACTGGTATTACTTGCTATAAATACACAGCTACTCAAAAGTAATTTGCTGTTCCCTAAGGAAAAAAGCCTCCCATAAATGGTAAAGTCCTAATTCCAATAAGAAGTAACTACGGACTTACCTCTTCATCTAGCTCTTTCACTATCTTCTCTAAACGAGTATTAGTAGACCTGAAGAAATTTGAAAAATATTTTTAAACCCTGCTGATTATACAGAAATTAGAATGTTTGGATGTGTCTGATTAATTTTATGTAAGATAATCTATTTTCAGCAATCACATGAAACTTCAAGGACTGGGGAAATTCACTCAAACAATAGAGAGATTCTTAGGGAGAGTTAAGGCAAAAAAAAGAAAACAGTTGTCACAGGAGTAGCAGGAATTAAGCCAGCAATTTACAGTAAGCTCTGCTTGCGGGGTTGGGGATCCCCAAAATGGATTAAAATGCTTTTAAGCATTTAGAAACAAAAGGTGTAATAAAACTTCTTTGTAAATATACCAAACACATCAAAACAGTCTCACCTGTACTTCTGTTCTAGTTCATCTTTGGCTTGTAATTCATTACTGAGCTGTTCTTCTAGCTTGTTTAGTTTTTTCTGAAACTGTGTAAAATGTCAAAAAAGCATGGCCCACATATAAAAATGCTATCACATAAAACAAATGTAATTCATTTAAATAACAAAAGAAGAGAAAGTGAGGAAAATTAATTCAGCCTTCCACTACATTATTTTAAAACCATCACCAGAAGGTTACATCTTTACAATGTATTAATCATAATGATTTCAAACATACAGATCCATAGTAATGAAATCTGCTGCAGGCTACATTAAATCTAACCATCGCAGAGTTACGTGCCACAGATTGTGAGTCATGACATTTCTACAGGCAAAAAATATTGTTACTGGCCCTCTGCTGTACTCTTTGTCTGTAGACAGAGGCTTTCCACTGGAGCAGAATTTTTGGGATAGTCTTCTCTAAATAAAATTAAAAAAAAAAATAAAAAGGGGGGCACATGACCAAACTGAACAATATTGAGATAATATTACTAAGCATACTCAATGACCTCACATAAAGAAAAATTTCTTAGTCTAACACATACAGAAGTTAACAAACACTTTTCAAGTTTGGAAATGCTTTGTTTTGCTTACTAAAATATTACAAAGAAATTGTGAGTCACATACCCAAATATTCATGAAATAAATTATAAATAATAAATTTTGGAATCGTCTTATGTCTTCAGGCTTTCAAGTGCATTTATTTTCCTCCCTTCCCCCTCCTCCTCTAACCTCCATACATAAAATGTAAACGTGGTTTTCTAACACACTTTATAATTGTTACAATTAGAAGATTCCCAGAACAGGGACACTGAAAAGGACACCAAGAACAGAGATTAATTGCTTGAGAAAATACAAATGAAAAAGGTTGTCAGAAGTGAAATGCAAAATTTTACCAACAACACTTACTATCAAAACATAAAGCAAATATCACGAATGTGACACTATGTATTTTATACAGCAGTAGCATTTCTTTTTAAAAGGGAATCTGTAAAACTATTAATCTATTCAGCAATGTCTAAAACTATTCATCTATTCAGCAATGACAGGAAGGAATGAAGCAGAGTCTGATGAACATTTGCATTTAAATTTATGCTGGTCAATACATAATGCGTTTCCTTTACTTATTTTTTAAACTTTGAAAAGGAGTTGTAAGTTTTAAGAAAAGTTAACAACATACTATCTACACTTGAATAACACAAATGTTTAAGTAACATAATGAAGTAAGTACATGAAAAATCCATAGCATTCCCCTGTCATCTGCAAATTTAAATTCAATTGTCAATCTTCAAAAGCTAGATAAACATGCTCCATACACTCACTTCAACTGAGAGCATGATTTAAACATTCCTTTATCGCTGCAGGTGACAATTTACGTTTCCAAACTGAATAAATCAGTCATGAATCACTTAGGCAAGCATGGAGCCAAAATTCACAACCTTCCCAAGAGTGATGCTGTTTGTGGCAAACAGAGCCTTACACATTTGTTTTCCAAACAAATTCTAGATGCCAAAAGAGTTCAAGAAAAATCTGTATTCGTTCATCTTTATACTATAGTTCCTTAATGACTGAGCACAACTGTTTCAAAATAAAACGTGTTTACTGTTAACACTTTGGTGAATAAATATTAAAGATATTTCACATTCACACAAATTATGTAGCTTTTTTTTTATTCCTTTCATAGTTCAAATAATACACTTACCTCCTTGCTGTCCTGTAAATAAAAAATATCATTTTTATTGAGGACCATTAAAAGACAAAAAGCCCCCCCCAAATTTCTTGAAAAGTTATTTTAGACTTTGTCTTTTCCTAACAGACATTAACAAAATTAGTTAATCATACCATTAGTACTTACAAAAAAAGGCACTAACCTCATTTTTACTAGATTGCACGGATTCATTTTCTCTGCAAGACTGAGAGGAGTCACTTAGCAACCTGTCAAAAACAAAAACAAATCCCTCCAGTTCTTATTCAAGTTTTCAACAACTCTGGCAACCTTGCCAATCAAGTAATTTTAATCAATTCTCTCAAGTCTTGATTTGTCCTACGCTATTCTCAGAATGAAGCTTGTTTTATTTCAGTGTGAGTGCATTTTTCCGATTTGAATCTTTTTTTAAATGAAGTATAACATATGTTTTCAAATCTGTAGCAGCTTATAATTTTTTAATTAATACAATTATGTCTTAACTATTTGAGTCCTAGCAAGCTATTATCTTGTGTAAACTTCTTCTAAAGCTACTAAGAAAAAGCCACTTCAGAACTAAATTACAAATCTGTTAGTATTTTAATCCTAAAAGATGTTGCTGAGAGACTATATAATTTTGTGCATATAAAAATACTGTGTTTAATCAGAGTTATCAAAATAACCAAAATAGTAGCGAATGATATATTCTACTTAAACTCTGCATTGTGTATCTTCACAATTGGACATATATGAATATAACGCAATGAATAAATTATGTATCTAGAGTGAAAAAAGGATAGGATGTAAGAAAAATCTGCAGGTGTATTTCTAAAAATGTATATTAAAGTATTACATACAAATTGTCTCTGTAGTAGGTAAATCCTATAAAAGGCAGCTGGTTTCCCACGAAGGCTTTGGGGATTGGAAAGGTTTCCACGTCTCCCTTGTCGTCCTCAATGTCATCAAAATTACTGCTATCTATATCACTGCTAAGCTCAGGAACAACAGGAGCAGCAGCTACAAAAAGGGGAGAAAAGATCAACTTCACTCCAAGATTCAGCCACTTGCTATATACTGCTATCTCTGTAATGTTAAAAAGCCTGTAAGTTGTCCTGCTAGTTAAACATCTATTAACCATGCAGCAGATCTGTAAATATTACTGTAAACATTTTTTTCTACAGAAATCTATTTTTACATTAGTTGCCTAATGCATAGAATATCTAATGCCCAAAATGTATTTGCTAAGGTAATCACATTTGAGAACAGAACTCTAAATACAATCATCATTTTAAGAAACTTTAGTAAATATATGACTTCAGAAGCTACGATCAAGCTCATGATCTGAACTGACATACTTTGGTTTTTTGCCTAAAGCTATCAAGTTCACAATGCCTTAAAGGAAAAGCAGTAAAACTGACAAGACTGCTGTCAAACCACCATCTTAACTACAGACGGTTAAAAAAAAAAAAAAACCAAAACAAAGAACCCAAAAAACCAACAAAAAATCCCCAAACAAAACAAGAAAAGCCATGAAGAAACAGAACCTAACATGCATTCTTTTTAGTTAGATTTCTAAAACATCCAGTTCTGTTGTTCAACACAGAAATCTATACATTAAAAGCATGATAAAGGTAAGGATAATTCCAGTAGGAAAAATGTGGGTTTAATAACCCTTACTGAAAAAAGTTTTTATAATACAAATTATAAATATGGAAGTTTGAGCAAGATTCTTGATAGATAGAAAATACTTACTTCATTTACACAGCCTAAAGTTTTTTTTTTTCATTTCTATTATGGCAAATACTGAATAAAAATAGAATTTTTAAGCTAATTTACTTACTCTCTCGAATGTTGTCCCAGTTCCACTGATCACTCTTGAAGAAAGGGTGATGCTTTATTTCTTCTACCCCATTTCTCCCAAGCCGCACATCCCTAAACACAGCAATTAAGCCAAATTCACATTAGGAAAAACAACACTTGTTTTTTGTTATTTAAATTTGGACTTGTTCATAAGCAGCAAAGAAACTTTCAGTATAGATTGTCTGTGTTAACCACATTAATAGTGAAATGAAAAAAAATTTTTAAAACCACCAACCACTGATCTGCAGTTTCTTATACAAAATGTACTCTGTTTCTTAGTATGCACTCTCCCTGCGACTGCTAAAATGTCCAGAATTTGGAGTCTGCCACGTGGGGAGTAAAGCAAGAAAGAGAGCACTGAGGCAAAAACGAAGAAAAAACTAAGAACACAAACAAAAACCCAACACCCTCGGGGGGAAAAAAAAACTGCAGAAGTTCCATGTCTGCCAAACCACATGACAAACCTTAAGACGCAAGTGAAGGAAGGTCTGACTTACTGCACAGAACACTTATTCAAAGCTGGACTGAAATAAGTATTTTAAGAATTCCATCCTCTGCCCCGTAACTAACCCTGACACATCTTTTGCTGATATTTGCAGAAGTAAATCTTAAGTGCAACATGAAACTTTCAGTTTGACCAGAAGAGTCTCTTTTAAAGCTATCTACAAGAACAGGACATAAAAACAATGCGTGAAAAAGAACTAATAAATCATAAGGTCAATGCTTGTTCCTTCTTTAAGGGCTTCAGCAGTGATCACGCATACGGAAAGAAGGCATCTGTTTCAAATAAATCGCCTGAGAACTGTATTAAATATAAACAGGAAGACGGACACACGTAGTGGAAGTACACCTCGCCGCATTTACATTATTAAATTCTACTCATATTTTCTCTCTACCCTTCAGCTACTAAGGGTGAAAAATGCTGTTAAAGCACATCCTTCCTGAGTAACCACAATCTTGCTCAACAGAACAAACAATCTCTCTTTGAATGCAAATACCATTATAAGGCATTTTTTTTTTCTAATCCCTCATTTTCTAAAGGCTAGATGCTCTGCTGCAGCCAAGTTCAAGTGACAACAGGAAAGCATAAGAAGGCATCGTCGATCCAGAGTTAACTATGGACCTACAGCATTCTTTTTTTAAATCAGAGAAACTGAAAATGATCTCTGCTTTCTGGAACTACAGAAAATGTAAGCGTTCAGGTCAAGAAGCAGCTCACACAGCTTAGTATCAATGCGTGTCGGTTCCACAAAGGGAGACCTCCAGGATCTATTTATAGCCAAAACAATTTCCTTGCTGGTTTGTTAGCTATACTTGTCAATTAATACAACAAAGCAAATGAAAAAAAGTTCAAACATTCTAAGAAAGCTTAAACAAACTCAGTAAATACATGCTTATTTTCATAAAAGTATTTGCTTTCATCTTTTTAAGTAATACCCACTTAGACACTGCGCACAATTTGCTCCCTGCCTTGGAGCTTACAAATTACTTCCAACCTTACAGGTTTGTTACTGTATTACACACTGCAATTGGAAGGGTTTGGCTGGCACAAATTGTGGTGTTAACAAGAGCTGTCAGAACTGCTCATAGAAATAAAATACAATACCTGGAAAAAACACCCCAAAAGAAAAACTAGAGAGCACGAGGTTTTGCAGAAGAGATTTGAACAGACATCAGGAGAAGTAATGGAAGGAATTAATTTTTACAGTGTACACGTGCTAATACTGTCCAAAATAAACACAGTACCAGAATAATACATGCACTTACCTATCAGTTAAAAAGGCACAGATAAGGTTCTTTGCATGCTTAGAGATTTCCACATCATCTGGGAAATGTAATGAGTTCTTATGATCCATAATTTTACTGTATGTTCCTACCAGTGAGTCTGCATAAAAAGGAGTATCACCTGAAAATAAAATAGTAAATTGACTGTGATTTTGAGTCATGTTCAAGTCACGTAAGTTGAAAAAGACAAAAGATATAAAGAAAAGTCTACAGGCAGTTTTATTTAAAACAGTCTTTTATTTAAAAAAAAAAAAATTGTAATGCAGGGTACAAAATAACATATACTACTAAAAATACTCCTTCCCCAAAATGCCTGTGTTACAAAACTAAACTGTTTTCCACGCTGCACATCACTACAAAAATTTTGCTGGGTGAATTACATCTTCTGTTCTACCTGAAGACTACTACTGTGTTTTCTAATTTACATGATGGCTGACACCCACATAAATCCCCATCTTTAAGAGCTTCCATGGGTATAATGGACCAAAACTCATTAAAGATTTGCTAACACACATTTGTTGGAGGGAATCCACCAAAGCGCATTTCAGAGGCACGCAGGTCTACCCTGCCTACCCCTGGAGCTGCCTAAGGCAAGTCAGCTCTGAGCAGGAGCCTTCACAGTCTGTTACTGCGCTGTTAAACCCATATTAACAAATCTTGTTGACTGATATTAGCTTGGGTGCCCATACTAACATAGGCAGGTGGCTTTTAAAATCACAGACCTTTCTCACCCGAAGGTTTGCAGCATAGGTTTTAGTTAAGTCCAGTTTCTTTGCATATATCCTTAAGAAAGGTAAAACTGGGACAACTGAACAGAATCAGTATCGATAAAGATAACTGATGTTCAAGTTAACTGACAACATTCTGAATATACAAGCGGTTCGGGTCAGTAACCAAGAGGCCGAAACTTTTACGCAAATCCTTCTGCACAACTAATCCACAGTTTAATGGAGAAGGTGAACAATGAATCACGTAAGCTCGGCTCTTTCCTCCATCCCGGTGCGCTGCATGCAGACGGGGATCACGTGGCAGGCCAGTCAGTCAGCATGCTGACTGCATGCTTCCAACAGGGTACTAAAAATTTCAAAAGCTGAAAAAATGTACAGACCAACAGACAAAAACCATTCAGCTTTCAAAAAGAATGTAAGTGCAACAATCCTACCTTTAGCCTCTTTCTGTCATTTTATGGCAAAATAAGATACTAGTAGTTTCCACCTTTAATGAAATATCTGGACTAATAGTAAATTCATTAGGTAGCCGTACCAGTACATTGGAGGGGGGATCACCGGTATTTGCTGCTGCCCCCTTCTTTCCAAACCTTCCCCTTCTCGGTTGTCTTCGGTCTCAGAAACAGCTTTGATTTAGTCCGTATCTCAAAACTACCCTAACTCAGTGAACTAAGGTAGTGTTAGGATCCATTCTCTGACCAATGTTTTAGCTTTTAGTTAAGTGCACAATAAAAAGTAGTGCCGTTTTCATTAGTACTGTCTCTTTACTAAAACCAAAACAGAATGCTTTCTGTGCTTTCTTCAGAGCGTAAATTTTTAGAAGACCATAGACAGAAACGGATATGTAAACACAAACAAAAATAGATACTGTCTACCAGTGTGTGCGATATAGAGAAACTAAGTAAGATTATCAAGAGAAAACCAAGTGTGAAAGTCCACAACGGCTTTTAAAAGTAGTTGCTGTTAATGGGACCTTGAAACTGATAAGGCTATTTAAGAACGGAAATGATAACGTTAACATTGGTTTATGTTACATGTTGCTGAGAGTGAAAAAAAAGAAAGCTTCAATAGTCAAAATACCATAGGATAATAAAGGGATAAGGGTTTAATCAAAGGTCAAAGTTAACCCATATCAAATACTCCAAACCATTTTATCGGTGCCTGTCTCTTAACAATATGTATGTGGGAGTAGAGGATCTGTCTTGAATAGTATCATCACTCCTAGTTCAAAACCCAAGGACCAGAAAAGCTACGCTGCTATTGAAGAGAAGGTGCATGTTTTTCTAAACACTTTGTCAAATGAATTTGACCTGAGACTCAAAACCACTGTGTTTGTAAACAAACGCATTGAAGGAAACCATGTTGGTGCTGTCAGACAGAAAATCCAATTGAGATTAGAATATGACAATTTGAGGACAACAAATAAAAAAAATACAGGGCATAACTAGGCCCTGTAATTGTAATTACCAGTATAAAGGTGAAGCAGGTTTTAACATTTTAAGAAGACTGCATAGATAGAAAATCACATCCACTTCAGAGGAAGAAAGAGGCTCAGATTAAAAAAAAAAAAAAAAAAGCAGGAAGGAGGCTTCATGAAAAGCACGAAGAAAGAAGACAAGAATTCAGTGGAAAGGGTACAGTGTTAATCACATGTAGGATTATGGCACGGCTAAAACCGAAACAGAAACAAAATTGTTATTTCACTCCCATCACAAAAAGTGTCTGAAAAAAATCACACAGCTAATGAAAGTGAAGTTTTCAGTCTAGAGTATACACAAGAAAAAAATTATGTGCAGTACTAAAGAAGAAAGGGAAAAGAAAGTAGTAAAAATAGCATAGCTTCAAATATTGAAATAAGATATACTTTGGGAAGAAAAATACAGGAGACCTATGAAATATTACAAGTTTTCTAACACAACTCCAAACTCTAGGAATACTTATACCAAATAAAGCCCTTAAGCTTAGCAACCCATACCTTGGAATAAAAACACAGTGTGTTGCACTGAAATATAGATGGATTTTTGTCCTAATCAGGTACAGGCTCCCTCATATAATCTAGGTCCTGCAAAAACTGTACTTTCACTTTAAAAAAATGTTTTCATGAGAAGGATCGAAAGAGGAGAATCCTCCCTCTCAGATAGAAAGGCGGGGCGGGGGGGAAGCGTCTCTGAGAAAACATTCTGGACAGCTATGTCCAGTATTTTAGTAACTTTAGAATTTTATTTATTGCTAAAATCGTGTATGAGACACTTAATTATAAAACACACTTTTTGTAAGTCAAAATGCCTTAATTCTGAAAGACACAGAGATTGTAATAGCATCACATATCCAAATGTCTTTCCTGGCTCAGGATACCAGAAACATCACATCCGCAGTATTCCCTCAACATGCTGATTTGGATTTTTAATAATTATATGCTCAATTTCATCCTTCTATAATCAGTATTTTGCTACCAGACTATAATACTGATTGTCACTGTATTTTAAGATGCAGATGACTCATCTCCTTGACAGATTATATTCTATGTTCGTTGCCATAGCAGTCCAGTGTATTTTATTGGAAAATCCTGACTCAAGCATAAAAGA